TGGCCTGGCATCTCACACTAGTGGCGGTGGGTGGGTGGGTGGGGGGTAAACCACACAGGCTTGGAAACCATAGATACCGCAGCCCCTGTGGGTCCCGCACAGATTAGGGAACACCATCAGTATTGCGAAGCATGTTCCCTGGTGGGAAGAGAAGTGAGCTGAGTGTGGACGGACTCACAGACGCAGGGGGCGTGGCCGGGTAGGAGTTTGGGAATTAGTAGATGGCAGCCGGGGCTGGCGAGGGGCCACACATGGGCGATCAGTGGGAAAAGGGGCTGCTGTCCTGCCACCTCTGGAAATGCCACGGGCGTTTCCCAATAGCTCGGGGGAGTTGGAGGTCACAACAGTGGAGGGTTCTCTTGAGACCACACAACTGTCACACCTGCCTCTTCTACTGGGAGCTTTCTCCTTAGGAGCTGAGAGGGCAGATAACCACTTCTGGGAAAGCCACTTCTGGGGAGGGAGCAGTTGTGTCCCCAAGGACTTGCAGGCTCCCAACATTCACGGGTTATCATAAGTTTTCAAGGGCATCAATGGAAAAGGGGGAGAGGGCAAAATCGGGGGCAAAGCACTTCCCCAAAGTAACCCAACGGGCAAAGAAACAGCTAACGAAGCCTGGGCACGGGCACAGGGAAAGGGGGACAGTCCACCCCCTGGGCTTCATGGAGGGCAGGGGGTGCCTTGAAGCCAAGTGGCTGCCAACCCTTCACAGCCAGGGAGGCAGTCACCTTGAAAGAAGAGGCCGCTGGGCTGTGTGGTCACCGCTGAAGAGAGGGCAAGCCACAGCACTGTGTCTGCCCCCTGGGCCGCAGAGCGCAGCCTGTCCCCGAGCCTGGCGTGGAACCCAGGCATCGACAGCCGAACCGCTGCAGGAAGGAAGGGTAGAGTGATTAGGGCGTCTGTCTGGCCGATTCCATTTTAATATCAAGTATAGAAAAATGAAATAGGACCATACCCTGCTCTCTCTGCTGGAAAGTAACATCTATCTAAGCTGTTTAAAATGGATTCCAAACCTCGTTACAAAGGCCCTGAGGTGTCTCCTGCTGGAAGGTGCTCACCAGCACCCAACTACAGGGTTGGGTCCCTGTGGCCCTAGGCACCAGCCACGCAGACCAGCCTATCCCTGAGCCTAGTCACACGCAGCTCCTCTCTCTATCCTAAGCAGGCATTAACAAAGCATGGGGCCCTCACTGAGGCTGGGGGAGGTTCCACCCTCAGACCCTGCCTCCTGGGTTAGTGATCTCAGATGATTCTGGCTTTCTGACCGTGGCTGTTGGCCTCTGGGACTTTAGTGCTGGCTTCTCTTTAGGGAGAAGTAGTGTGAGAAAGAATTTCTTCACCTCCCTTGCCAAGCTCCTTCCCCTTGCTCCCCTGCACCCTGTGCTCAGAGTAGCAGAGAGAAGTTCCTCACCTGGTGCGGCCCTACTGCCTGGCCCTGTGCACAGGTGGCCCCTGCTGGCCCTGCACCAGCTGCCCCTGACCAGGCCTGCCCGGAAGCACAGCTGTAGGCTACGCCCCCACACCCAACTCTCCACAGACCTCAGGGAACACAGTGTCTCTAAAAGGAACATGTTAGGAAATTAAATTGTTCTCTCACGAATCCAAGAAAAGAAAGCAGAGAAAACAACCTTCAAGAGCCTTATTGGAATCAGAATTTTAGAGATAGAAGACTCTTGTTCTTTCGATTAAAAATAAACTTTTCTTTTTTTTTAACAGAAGTAATACTTTTCGGGGCCAGCAATTGGCGTAATGGCTATGTCGCTGGCCTCCCATGTAGTTGACTGCAGTTTGAATCCCAGACCCGGCGGCTTAAACTCATGCCGGGGAGGTGTGCATGCGTGCCCAGGATTCCTAGAGGAAAATGGAGAAGGGATTGCGGCGTGGCCATCCCCTAGGGTGTAATTTCTCACTTGCTGTCTCGCTGTCTGTCTCTGTCTTTCTGGAGAGCGCATGGCCTATAGCAAAAAAACTTTCCAAAAAATAAAAAGAAGTAATGCTTCTTTATCGTGGGAAAATGAGGGTGTGTCCCAGCCTTGGTGGTGCAGTTGGTGGAATACTGAACCACAATGCTGGAAGCCACATGGCTGACCGACAGCAGGTTGGATCCCTGGCCCAACCAACTTAACACATGCTGGGCGTATGCGCACATGCCCACAACCTGCTGAGCTGGAGGGCTGGGGGAAAGGCATCCTGGCATGATGCGACCTTGTTAAGAGTGCTTTCCTCTCTCTTCTTCTCTCTTTCTCTCTCTCCCTCATGTCTATCATAAAAAAAAAGGAAAAATTATGACTGAAGAGAAGGAATTTGAAACCTTCTACCATGTCGCTTAGAGAGGACAACTGTTCCCCAGGCTCCCTGTCCAGCTCTCCTGGGCCTGAATGGACAGTTAGGGCATCCACACCCGAGCGGTCTGGTCTGTAGTAACCTCTAACCCGCAGACAGGAGATGGTGAATTGCACCTTAACCTAATTGGTAGGTCCAGGGGATGGACTTGCTAGACACAGATTGTGTAAACACGCAAACCAATGCTGGGTGGTATGCCTGGGAGTATAAGAGGCTGGGACAGGCTGGCATGTCTCCCCTTAGTAAGAATGGAGAAGCCACACCTCCAAAGCCCCTAGCTGGAGTCTCCCCCCAGTGCACTTGGCTAACCACATGCCCTTTGTATCTATGACAGGAGACCCCAATCCTTTGCAGATCTGTGGAGCAGAGGGTCAATTTTCTGCCACGCTGTCAAGCTAGGTCTCCTTGGAAGTATACACTTCTTTTTCATTTTAATTGAATTTTAACTTTTTAAATTTTACCAGAGGGCACAGCACTCTCTGCAGAGACAGAAAGAGAAACTGGGGGAGCAAGAAAGCACCCCCACCCCCCGTTGAAAATGGGCATGTCGCAATCCCTTCTCGTCCATTTCTCCCTCTCAGGATTTTGGACATGCACTCAGTGTGTTTTTCAAGCTGCCAGGTCCGGATTCAAACTGTGCAGTTGGTCGTGTGTGACCCAGCTGCCTTCACCACCAGGCTGGCCCCGCTGTTGGGGCTCAGTGTTGCCTTCCTTTTAGGGAGGAATAAAGAAGGGAAAGAACTTTTTCACTTTCTGTTTCTACAAGAGTGTTGTTGTGGGACCAGCAGTTAGCGTAATGGCTATGTCACTGGACTCCCATGTAGTCGACCGTGGTTCGAGTCCTGGATCCAGTGGCTTAAACTCACACCAGGCGTGTGTGCGTGCGTGCCCAAGATCCCGAGAGGAGAATGGAGGAGAAGGGATTGCGGCATGGCCATCCCCCCTGGGGGGTGATTTCTTGCTTTCTGTCTCTCTGTCTCTCTCTGTCTGGCAAGTGCACGTGCCCTATAGCAAAAACCTCTCAAAAAAAAAAAAAAGAGTGTGGTTGTAAAAAAAGATCAGAAGACGTGCTATTTTGGAACCTAGTATCTTCATAAATGATATAGCAGAGACTGTTTCTTTTTCCATATTAATTGATGGCAAAGTTTTCAGTCCTGAACAGATCCTCCTGCACGGGTATACTATAGTCTACCAACTTCATCTCCTATCACCGGAGCTGGGATAAGCAACCTTGTTTTCCCTATCTTTAGTTATTTCTTGGGATGAATTCCAAGGATACATGTATGTAAAGGTTGAGGCTTCTAATAAACAGTGGCTTTCAGAATGCTCATGCCGGCAGTGCATGGGACCAGCTGGGAGGTCTTAGGCTCTCTGTGCCAGGGTTCCTGCCGCTGTAAGTGGTGTGAGAACAAGCAGTTGCCCTGCCTCACAGGGGCCTGTGAGGACACTCGAATTACTAGACAGTAACTGCACTTCAGTGCCCTGCGGGCGTTTGCTGTGGCTGCCATGGGGTGTAGTGCCCTTGTCTGGGGAGGAGGGAAGTGAGCAGGGGAGCTCCGGTGAGCGGCCACAGTCGGTGGGGCAGCCCCTGAAGGAAGTCTGCTCTCCACGGGTGCTCCAACCCGTTCCAAGTACTTCCAGCTGTCTCCCTAGTGGTTAGCATTTCCAAAGCCTGGTAAGTGGTGAGGTGGCCTGTGCCTGTGCCCAGGTGCTCCTCACCCCCATCATTCCCCTCCCCTGGTCACCAGGCCACTGCTAGAGTAAGGACCCCCTCCCCTGAGTCCTCACAAGGCAGGCTGCAAGCAAACTCTGCCTCCGAGGACAACAAGCTGCTCTCTCTTGCCCAGTGTGCCCCACTTCGGTGGGGATGAAGCAGCTCCGCAGTCCTCATTATGCCGGTTTTGGGTCATTCCTGGGGAGATTCAGCCCTGCGGCGGCTCAGATATTTTTAGATGAACGTAAGCAGCTCTGCAGTTAAAGCCTACGACATACCTGGAGTGTCGGCCCAGCCGGGATGCATTGAGGAGAAATGGATGGCCGGGTGCATCTGGGCCCACCGCTCAGTCAGAACCACCTGCTGCCTCTGGATGAGAGCGAGGAAGGGACAAGCAGAGAGAGGCACCCTTAGGTGTGAGGCCAGGCTGCTGGCAAAGAGCACGGGGACTGGCCCCTATGTCGAGGACGCTGCAATGTGTGGCACCCCCTGATTTCACCCTCCTCTGTAGGTCAGAACAAGCAATGAGCGAATTGCATAAGGACGAAAGAACAGCAGCCTGCAGGCTGAGGACTTCCCAGCCCAGCGCCCAGTCCGCCCTCGTCCCCTAGTCGCTCGTGGGACTCTGTGCTGCTTAATGAGGGCGGAGATGGCACCTGTCCCCTCGCTGTTGTGTGTCAGGCCCCCAGCACTGGCGGGCACTGAGTGCTCAATTACCATGGGCATTAACTCCCCCTGACAGAGTGTAGCAAGCATACTGGAGGAGCTTAGAGAACACATCAGTTAGAGACAATAAAAATCATTAAGTGCTCCCCACCCCCCTAAATCAGCCCCCATCTGTGTCAGGCTACTGCCCGGTGCCAGGGCCGTTCACTCATGCTTTGCAAAGCGCTCCATCTTCTGGGCCTCATTTATGATGAGTGGCTGGTTTATTCCCCTGGCCTCTGGGAAAACTGCCAAGAAATACGGCTCTTTCAAATGCCAGGATTTGGGGTCGTGAGCAGTTGTCCACCAGGATTTGTTCTGGGGGCCAGTGAACAAAAGTGTGGCACCCCTGGGGCACACAGGTGGCAGAGAGAGGTGGGGAGGGCACAGGACAGGGATCCTCTCCAAAGGTTTGCAACACCAGCAGGGAAAGCGGAGGGTGCTGGCAGCTTTACAACATGGGTGCCCGCCAGGTGGGCAACGTGGCAGCTACATGCATAGCTACATGGAAGATGCGTGTTACGAAAAAACTATGCATGGATTTCAAACATGTCTTGTGCCCAAATAAACTGATATGTTAATTCTATGTTTCCCTGAGCCTTGTGAACTCTTGTGTATAGCAGGCTTTTAAATGTAGCTGTGGTGAGCTAAGCTACGGCAGGACACCTCTGCTTCCTGGTGAGAGCAGCCATGGGACCTGGGCTCCTGCCCTTGCAGTTGAATGTGTACTCCCTGTGAGGGGAGTCCGGGAAACCCAGAGCTGTTCTGTGACATCTGTCTAGCCAGTGAGCTAGGGGCTGCCCAGACAAGAGAGTACTGACTGTCTGAACTATGCCCAGCAATGGACGCACGCGCTGGGCTCCTGTTGTGACAGTCACCCGCTTTCACCATTTTCTGTGTGGGCCCGAGGAACACCTGGAAGAGAGTGGGCAGCATTCGTGGCTTCTCCCAAGGTCTGAGCTCCCAAGGTCCGAGTTCTTCCCTCTTGGTCAGGGAACACTTCCAGGTGCTAGGAGCTACCAAGGTCCAGTAGACGTGCATCCCAGAGCCAGCCTTCCTCGGAGAGGCCATCGGCACATCGCTAAAACGTGGGCGAGAAAGTCACCTCGCTTACCTTGTTCTGTGCATAGACCATGGTTCCATTAAATGCCGTCCTTTCTGACTGGAGATCGTGGGTGTTCAATTTCTGAACCAACATTCCTCCAGAGGAGACTGTTATCTGCCAGAAACAGGTTTGCAAGAGAAGTCTGTAACCACCCATTCTCCTCTGCTCATGGAGCAGTGTACAGCTGGCCCTCGAACAACACGGAGGTGAGGGGCACTGACTGCCCACACAATCAAAAACCTGGGTATATATCATTTTGACTCCCCCAGACTTAACTGCTAACATGTTACTGTTGCCTGGAGCCTTTTTGGTAATATAAACAGCTGATTAACACCCATTTCGTATGGTACATGTGCTGCGTACTGCATTCTTACAATAAAGTAAGCTAGAGAAAAGAGAATGGGATTTTAAAAAATCATAAGGGGTCAGCTCCAAGGCACAGTGAAAATGCACTGCTCAAGACAAGCTAGGTCCCACCCAAGGTGACTGCCGTTCAAGTCCCCAGCCTGGTCAGCCTGAAACATTCCAGACCTGCACACATGTGCCCAGGGCCTGAAGGGTTGGGTGACTGGAGGAAGGGGATCATGGTGAAGAGACAGCTTCTCTCTCTCTCCCCCTCCCTGTCTCCCACATGCATGTGCATGTGTGTTCATAAATAAAGAAAAAAATTTAGTTTAAGAAAGGATATAATAAGGAAGAGAAAACACATTTACAGCACTGAACTATATATAATATATATAATTTTTTTGGAGAGATTTTTGCCATAGGGCACGTGCGCTCGCCAGAAAGACAGAGAGAGACAGAGAGACAGAAAGCAAGACATCACCCCCTGGGGGGATGGCCATGTCACAATCCCTTCTCCTCTATTCTCTTCTTGGGATCTTGGGTACACAAGCACACGTGCCCAGCATGAGTTTAAGCCACCAGGTCCAGGCCTTGAACCCCGGTCGCCTACATGGGAGTCCAGCGACAGAGCCATTACACTAACTGCTGTCCCAGCACTGTACTATATTTTGCAGCACATTTATTGGAAAAAATCTGCATGTAAGTGGGTTTGCACAGTTCAAATCCATGTTGTTCAAGGATCAATGATGTTAGTTTTCTTGTCACTATAGTGACAAATGACCCCAAACTCAATGACTTAAAGTAACACAAGTGCATTCGCTTACACTTTTATCAGTAGCTGTCAGAAGTCTGAGAGAGGGCTGAAATCAAGGAATGAGAGGTCTGTTTCCCATCTGCAGATTTTAGAGGAGAACCTGTACTTTGCCTTCTCCAGCTTCTAGAGGTTACTGGCATTCCTTGGCTTGTAGCCACGTCACTCCAATCTCTGCTTCCATTGTCACATTGCCTTCTCCGACACTGGTCCTCCTGTCTCCCTCTTGTAAGAACCCTTGTGGGGCCAGCAGATGGCATGGAGGTTAAGGTGGCCACATCGCACATGGCTGACTACACTGAGTCTTGAAACCAGCAGGTTGAAAAACACACCAGGTGCATGTGCATGTGTGCTGAAAATCCTGAGACAAGAATGGAGGTGAAGGGATTGTGGTGTGGCCATCCATGCCCGGGGAAGGTGCTTTCTTACTTTCTCTCTTTCTGCCTTTCTCTGTCTCCAGTGAGTGCATGTACCAGATAGCAAAAAAAAAAAAAAAAAAAAAAAAAAAAAAAAAAAAAAAAGAAAGAAAGAAAGAAAGAAAAACACAAAAACAAAAATTAGAAATCCCTGTGATGGGGACCAGCAGATGGTGTAATGATTACATCATCGGACTCCCACATAGTTGACAGTGATTCGAGTCCCAGACCCAGTGACTTAAAACTCATAAACTCATGCTGGGCATGTGTAGGTTTGTGGCCAAAATCCCAAGAGGAGAATGGGGAAGAAGGGACTATGGCATGGCCATCCCCTGCGGGGGGTGATTCTGTCTCTCTGTCTCTCCAATGAGCACACATGCCCCTATAGCAAAAATCTTTCTCTCACAAAACAAAACAAAACAAACCCTGTGATTACATCAGGCCCACTTGGACAACTTAGGATACTCTTTCATCTCAAGACCCTCAGCTTAATCATACCTGCCAAGTCCCTTTTGCCATGTAAAGGTGACATATTCACAGGTTCCAGGGATTAAGAGGTGGATATCTCTGGGGGTGAGGGGTGTCATTATTCTTTCCACTACAGCAAAGAGGGGGCCTTCTTCTAGATTTATCTGATTTATGTTATCTTTTTTTTTTTTTTTGGAGAGGTTTTTGCTATAGGGCGTGTGTACTCGCCAGAAAAACAGAGAGAGACAAAGAGACAGAAAGTGAGAAATCACCCCCCAGGGGGGATGGCCATGCCACAATCCCTTCTCCTCCATTCTCCTCAGGATCTTGGGCACGCACGCACATGTGCCTGGTGTGAGTTTAAGCCACCGGGTCCGGGACTCGAACTGCAGTCGACTACATGGGTTGAGCAACATAGCCATTACGCTAACTGCTAATCCCTGATTTATGTTATCTAAATCAATTGGGAGAGGACAGGTTCCATCATTCTGCCCCTCCCCACGAGAGCAGGCTGGGTCCCAGGAAGTGCACTCACCATCCCCACCTGCATGGCTCACAGCTGCCCTGCTCTTCAGAACCTCTGTCCTGAGCCCTTGGCCAAGGACAGATTGGGGAAAGCCTTCAGAGAGGGCTGGGGTCTTCCACATGGCTCTTGGCATGGTTATACCCCTGCCTTGGCCCCCTGGACAGAACTGAGTTTTCCCTTGGGTGTGAACAGAGCGGCCCCTATAGGTCAACCAGGCAGCAGACCTAGGCTCACCAACTTCCCATCAGAAACAAAGTTGATTGTTCTGAAAACATGCCAAAGGTCTACTCACCACTCTGGGGTCGTGTTCTTTCTCCAGCACAGGGATCAGGGCAGTCGTGAGAATATACACACCTGAGGGGGCAGAAAGTATCTGATGAAGGTGGGGTGCTGCAGGGACCCCCAGCTGCCCAGGGCACTCAGGAGGGAGGTGAGCAGGGCTGTCCATCCACTCTGGCCCAAGTACTGTGACTAGCTCTGCGTGCTGCTGCTCGCTATCTTGTTTCTCCTCCTGTCTCCAGGATTCCTTTCCCCAGGATTAGAAAAAAAGATGTCTAGAGCCTGAGAAAAAAGATGTCCACACCACAGGAATAGAGGAAGGAAAAAGCGAACTGCAAAACAGTATATAAAATTTTATTTGTTGATATAAAAACTAAATAAATTTGAAAAAAAAGTACATGGGGCCCAGTTTGTGAAAGGGGGAACTATATATATATATGTGTGTGTCTGTGTGTGTGTGTGTGTGTGTAGACTGCCTAGAAAAATATGAATGAAACTTATTAGTCCTGCTTATGTCTCAAGAGTGAGATTAACTAAAACATTTATTTCCTTTGCTATACATTTCTGTGCTGTTTGGATTTCAGTATTTTTACAAGGAGCACATAATTTTATGATTATTCTACAATCAAGAAACACACATATAACATTTTTAATGAAATGAGAAAACACTGCAGAGTATATTTGACATGGAAAGAAATGCATAATAAATATGGAATGAGAAGTTACGAAACAGCAGGAACAACACAATTCCATTTTTTGTGAGAAAAGGCACATGTCAAAATGAGAAAATGTCTGCAAGGATAGTATTTTTGGTGCGCTAGAACGTTAAAAATACTTATCTCTGAGTAATGGAACTACCACTTCTATTTTTTTGTGTGTGTCTGTAATTTTTCTTCTTTTCATTTTTGCTATAGGGTGCATGTGCTCATTAGAGAGAGAGAGAGAGAGCGAGAAAGTGAGAAAGCATCCCTGTCCCTGCCCCAGAAAAGGATGGCCACCACAATCCCTTCTCCTTTGTTCTCCTCCCAGGGTTTTGGGCACACACATGCACCTAGCGTGTTTTTCATGGCACCAGGTTCAGGACTCAAACCACGCAGTCAGCTATATGGAACCTAGCTGCCTTAACCTCCATGCCACCTGCTGGCCCTCTATGTTCTTCTTATACCTATCTGTATTCTTTTTTTTTTTTTTTAACAATAAACATATATTGCCATGTGATTTTTTTTTGGGGGGGGGAGGTTTTTGCTATAGGGCGTGTGTGCTCGCCAGAAAGACAGAGACAGAGAGACAGAAAGTGAGACATCACCTTCCCGGGGGGATGGCCACGCCACAATCCCTTCTCCTCCATTTTCCTCTTGGGATCTTGGGCACGCATGCACATGCACCCAGCGTGAGTTTAAGCCACCGGGTCTGGGAATTGAACAACAGTCGACTACATAGGAGTCCAGCGACATAGCCATTACACCAACTGCTGGTCCCATCATGTGATTGTTTTTAAAAGGAGGACAAGGGTTGAAGCCCCTTACTCCCAAGTGAGGTGGGATCAAGTGAGGGCTATAAAGGGGCAGGCCCTCAACTCCTTGCTGAGTTAGTCTCGGGGTTTCTGCATGCCCCACGTGGCTTAAGCGCCACCCGTGAGTTCACAGGAGCCTGGTGCTGTGCAAAGGGCACTGGAAGAGAAGCCAGGGCCTGAGTTCAAGGCCTGACTCTGGAACCTACCAGAGAGGTATCCCATGTGCTTCCGTTTCTTTATTTGTGGAAGGGAGATAATAGCTGTCCAGCCCACCTCATAGGATCAGAGGGTTTTTGGTAAAATAAAAATGTGTGTTTATGTCCTGTGAGGACTGGAAAGTTCTCTAGGCAGGTTGGTTTTGTCATTTTATTGCTGAATTCTCATTTGTACTTCTGAATTGCAACTTTCATCCCAGATAGCATCCTTAGTTGTCCGCGGCCCAATTTATTTTTGGAGGAGGCTGCCTTGTTCGTCTTTGTGGATTTTGAAAGTCTCGCGAACCCTCGCTCTCTAACAGCTGTTAACCTCCACCCAGTGGTCCTGGACACTTTCTTTGTATTCGCTGCCGGGAGCTTTCTGTGTGATTTAATTTGTGAGAAGTAAAAAGGACTTCTGCCAAGCGCGATCTGCCCCATCCTCCTGCCCCGGCAGATTGTCATAAATGACTCCTCTGCGTAAGGGGAATGAAAGCCGGCAGGCTGGGCTGCTCCTGCCTGTGCAGGGTCCCTCTCTCTCCCCTCCAGGGCAGCCTGGGCTGCGTGAGCCCTTCTGCATCTTGCCTCCCTCCCCAGAGGTGCTCCTGGGTTTTGTGACTTGCTTCATCGTCTGTGAGATTACACCTGCATCCATCAACAGAGTTCCCTGCAGGAGGATTAGCTGGCTGCTCACCCCTGACAAATACTCTCTCCTCTAGGACAAAGGCCTAGAGGCAGGTGCTTATGTAAAAACCCTAGAGAAATGGCAGTTTCTAGCAACAGGCCTTCCAGTTCTTTTTTAAATCTCCCCTTTCCCTGAGTCCGAGAAAGGAGCTCTTTCCCACCCTTCTCCCCGTGCCCCTCACCACCTCTGAGAGGGAGCAGAGCTGAGACAGCATGTTTCTGTCCCAGTCTTGCCCCCCAGTCACTAGAACACACGCAGTGCCCCCACTGAGCAGGCACTCCTGCTCCTGGAGAAGGCCCTGAACAGTGCTCTTTCCAGCTACTAGCACTTTACAATCCTTCAGCCCCCAGCCAGCCTCCTGAGGCCCTTCCTGGGCATCCTGTCTTTTCAGGTCAGCAAAGGGAAACATGATAACACTCTGCTAAAATAACACCATAAAAAGTAAGTAAGAGGCCAGCCGGTAGTGTGACAGTTAAGGTGGCTGGATTCCGCATGGCTGACCGTGAAGTTCCAATACCAGACCTAGCGGTTTGAAAAACACCAGACACATGTGCATGTATGCCTAAAATCCCAAAGGGAGGGAGAGACGAAGGAGAAGGGACTGCGGCATGACCATCCTCCAGGGGATGTCTCTCTCTCTGATGAACACATATGCCCTCTAGTAAATTAAATTTAAAAAAAGATATGTGCCTATGTATAAGTATGTGCTTGTATGTATATAAGTTTGTGTGTGAAGACAGATATAGATAGATAGATAGCTAATCTATTATTTAAAGAATTGGAGGGATCAGCAGGTGGCACAGGGGTTAAGGCAGCTGGATTCCATATGACTGACTGAATGGTTAGAGTCCTGGACCCAGAGGCTTGAAAATCAAGTGTGTCCATGCATGTCCCCAAATTCCAAGATAATGAATGAAGGAGAGGAGATTGCAGTGTGGCCATACCCCATGGGAGATAATTTCTCACTTTTCCTCTCTCTTTTTTAAAATTTATTTTTCATTAATGTATTTATTTTTACATTTTACTTTACATATCAATCAAACATTTACTTTACATATCAAAAAATTTTAGCTCATAATCCATAGTTCTTGACAGTTAATCAACAACTTTCAAAATTTCAAAATACTGAAGTTTAAAGATAATGTTCAAAATATTTCTTATAATTTTGTGGGACCAGCAGTTGGTGTAATGGCTGTCGCTGGACTCCCATGTAGTCGACCATGGTTCAAGTACTGAATCCAGTGGCTTAAACTCACACTGAGAGCATGTGCATGCCAGCCCAAGATCCTGAGAGGAGAATAGAGGAGAAGGGATTGTGGTGTGGCCATCCCCCCTGGGGGGTGATTTCTCGCTTTCTGTCTCTCTGTCTCTCTCTGTCTTTCTGGCAAGTGCATGCGCCCTATAGCAAAAACCTCTCAAAAAATTTTCTTATAATTTTGTATAATTTTGTTTGTGACTCTATAACAACAGAGACAGTATGGTTTTAAATATTTTTGAGAAAATATTTTCATGTCAACTACTCAAATTGTTTTGTTAGCTTACTTGAGATCCACCTTAATTCCATAGTTTTCTGATTAATCTTCAGATATGACATTCCAGTCAAAGCCCTGTCTAATAATGAGTGTTTCTAATTTCTGATTCAATGCAACAAGCATTATTGAACTTATGCAAATAACCCTTCTGGCACAAAATAAGAATATTCCCAAATATTTTACAATTACAGAGGGGTCAGGAAGGAAGAAAAGTTTGTTTCCACTTAAAGAAACAAACAAGAAAAATATTTTAACAAATTGCTGAACCTATCAAAAGAAAGTAAAATGCTTAAATTGGGAAAAACAAAGCATAGTAAAAAAAAAAATCAGTAATGTTTCACTCAAAAAGTCACAAAATTCTATTTTGCCAGTTCAGTTTTATGTTCAAACTCTCTTCTGTTGAATATGCAGTGTTACTGTGGTCCATTTTTTTCCTGGAAGTTAACATTCAACATTATTATTGATATTTCTTGTCTATAGCATTAAATTGGTCATTTTCTTGGCTGCCTTTTCTTCTCTTATTTCTGTATCTGTCTTTAGTTTTCCTGGGAGAACACTCCTGTCAGAACTTCTTAAAGAGTGGGTCTGCTATTGGAAAATTATTTCGGGTCTTGTTTATCTGAGAATGTTTTTATCCTTTCTTTCCATATGAAAGATAATTTTGCTGGGTATAGTATTCTTGGTTGAAA